AAATTCACTTGTGTTCAAACATGAGTGAATGTTGACAATACAAAAAGTTCATATGAGTGTAGCCTAGATTAATGCCTAGATCAATGAAATAGATTAGAACCAACAGAGATTCAAAAGCATTTAAAAGCATTTTAAATGCATTTTAAAAGGCGGCACGGTGGCTGAGTGGATAGCACTCTCGCCTCTCAGCAAGAAGGTCCTGGGTTCAAATCCCGGTTGGACCAGGGCCTTTCTGAGTGGAGTTTGCATGTTCTCCCCGTGTCTGCGTAGGTTTCCTCCGGGTGCTCCGGTTTCCCCTACCACTAAAAATATGTACAATAGGTATGGCATGTGCCTCCTGTACTGGCACCCCCACTCCCAAAAAAATAACAATTGTAAACCGCTTTGAGACTCCGATGTGCAGTGAAAAGGCGGTATATAAATAAAAGCTTACTTACTTACATTTTGATGCATTTGTGTATAGCACAAAAACAGTATAGTAGATATTTAGATATTGAGAAGTTTCCAGCACAAACACCATTGTAGAATAACTGACCCCAACCCCAAACCTGCTAAAATAGATTAGCTCTTGTAAGGATAATACTAATTTGATTAATGATGTACATTCATCCCAAACTGCCTGACAATAATATCTTTAGATAATAAAAAGTAATAAATCACTGACCACTATAGAAGTGTAAATGTTGACCATTTGCCTTACTGTGTTCACAGTTTTATTCCTGAGAATGAGAGAGATAGAACAAAATCCACTAATAATATGCCACTGATAATGAGAGTATAAAACCACAGAGAGATTTATTAGATTAAAATGTATGTTTAAGAATATGGCTCAATAGAAGCAAATATACAAACATATTTGTAAATAGATTAGAATAGTTTAAACTATAGTGAATAGAGAGTAAAGTACACAGTCTAAGATTGAAAAGTGAAAATAATACAGTGAAATAAGTGAAGTGTAGTGTAAACAATTATCATTAGAATAAAAGTATAGAGTAATAAAAGTGAAATTAGCTTCAAATTTGAGACTCAGCTCGTTTTTGTCTGTGTTTTGACTGAATCTGCTGAGTTCTTGTGTGTCCAATAGTTTTTGTTTGTTTTTATTTTTGATTTGTTTTGATTTGTTTTTTTTGTTTTGTTTATTTATTTACTTTGTTTTTGTTTGTTTTGTTTTTTTTTTGTCCAGGATAGAGGATAAAATCCACTGATATTGATTTGATGATTATGAGTTTAATGCATACATTTTCTTTGTTTTTAATAATTTTTTGAAGTTTTTTTTGGAATTTTTTTTTTCTTTTTCCATTTTATTGATTGATCAAATTGAGTGATCACATGTGATTATGTGATCAAAGGGGAGGGTATTAGTATTAGATAGCAATATGGCCTACGTGCAGGACTGTACAAGGACTCTACAAGGACTCCATGTTATGACTATGATGTGACTGTCTCTTTGTGACACGTATGTCTTTCGATGTGTGACGTGACAATGACTATATAAACTGTGTACTGCCTTTATTCTGTCTGAGAGAAAGAAACAGAGTAAACCAGTGGAACTTGAGAGAAACTTAAATAAACTTCCAGAGTTTGGCACACCACGATCCGTCTCTCTCTGCTAAATCCTAACAATACTTGTATCTTTCATGAATGTTTGTTTTATTATACTTTAATATATCACTTTTATTATATACTTATTATATTCGTAATACTTTTCTTTTTAATACACTCTTTTCTTTTCTTTTTATTTTATGCTCATATGATTATGTTGATTTGGAGTTCCAGATACTGGTTGGGTTTTTCTATGTTTTCAGGAGGACATCATGGTGATGATTAATGGACACTGGACAGTGGACAGTGGACAGTTGGACATTGATGACAATCAGGGGTTTAAAGAGCTCTGATGCAGAGACTGGATTCATCAGGAGGAAGTGTGGACTAAGATCAAAAGAAGATGGAAGAAGATTTTGTCTTATTAATATTGTGGGATCTTATATTCTTTTTGTGTTTTTCTATTACAGGTGATGTGTAGGTATTTTTGCAGGTGATGTTCAGTGTTGGGGATAAAGGATTAAATATATTGATTAAATTGATAGTTTTAGAATACTTATTTTATTTTACATTTAGAATACTGAAATTGAGTGACTGTAATTGGAACACAGTTACTTACTAAATTGTTACTTAAATTAAGTGAACTCCCTCAGAGTTTGATAGTGATTCTTAAATTCCTAGATTTAAACTTTAGGAATAGATTAGTTTAATATGAAGTTGATTTAGTTGAGCATTGGAGACAATGCTGAATACTTTTGATTGGATTAAATCCAATCCCCCCCACTGAATATCTTTAGTCATGTGAGCTCCAAGGCTGTGAGTGCAACGTTTGTAGTCGTCAACGAAAACACATGAAGACAAATTAATATTAAGATGTTGGGGCTATGAGAGAATTTTTCCAATAAGCTAATATGAGGTTGGTTTTGCTCTCATACTCACTGCAAGGAGACAGGTATAATTTCATTTAGTGATCAAGCATGTGCTTGATCAAAAGGGGGAATATGTAGTGTCTGCTATTATAAATTCTACATATACAGCATGTATGTTCAAAATGTGTTGGGAACATTTGGGTCAAAATGGTAGAAGCAGCTGACTCTAACGATCCCTTTCTCAGTCATGAGGTAGACGTGTGAGCAACACTAATGTTAGGACAATGTGCATGGCTGTCCTTAAATGTATGGTTTGCTTTTCCTGGGTCTTGTGACTGTCTTATGACTTCTTCAACTATCTATAAGACGCTAGTCCGCGGTGTGTTCTTGGTCAGTCAGTCATACCATCTCGGAGCTGACCCGGGCTGAAAGCTAAGCCTGAATTGGATTCGATGTATTCTGATTATGTCATTAAACTCTTTCTTTAATACATAACTCAGAGTGCATTCCTTCTCCAACAACTATACTGGTTTGTGCGGGAAACCCATCTTCTGCCGATGAGAAGATACAACACTGGCATCCTTGAGCTTGGACTACAAATTCGAAGTGATGCACAGAAGAGGAGGGCTGGGCCGAAGTGTTTTGTTAGACGCCCATGCCCTTATATAGCAGTCTCGCTGCAAATACTGTGACGTAATAATTCTAAACACGTAATAGAGAATGGCAAAATCAGAACGGGTTGAAATATCTTACCTAAACAGAATATGAAGTGTTTTCTGCAACCCATGAAGAGACTGATTTCAACTTTTTTGCACTTCTAGAGGCTCCAACTACACAACATAAGGCATTTAAGGCACAAAAAGTGGATTTTTCATGATGTGTCCCCTTTAATATTTAAGGCTTTCCGTTTGCCCTTGTATACTGCACAGCTCTGGCGTAGATATAAAAAAAAAAAAACAGTATGCAGAGTCTAAATGTGGCTCACAATGTCTTTCTGAGGATCCTGTTGAAAGTGCCCAGGTTTTGTCACGCCAGTGAAATGTTTGTAAAATTGTGGTGCGAGGTCATGTCTTCAGATATTGCATTTACTCTTTTATGTGCAGAGCTGAGAGTCTGTCAAATCAGATCATCCAAGCTCTGGTCTGTCCTAGGAGGAGCTTTGTCAGGTTCTCCTCTGACTTATGGAGGCATTGGAGGTCCTGCCTGTGCACCCATTTAGTTTTATTGTATACGTATGTTTTGTTTTTATATCTATGAACCAGTTTTTCTCTGTGTTCTTAAGAATGAATTGAATTAGTTTTACCCATAATTAAAGCTTCTTGGTCTTTCAGTGTGAGAATTGTGCTCTACAAGTGTTCTTACCATTTTGTTCTGAGCACTACAGTTTTTTTAAATTGCAGGTAGATACAAGATAAGAGTCCCTTTAGTCATCCCACAACCTCAAAGATCCTTCTTGGAATATTTACAGCCTATAAATCCCACTGGACTGGAATCACACGTCTCTCTGGTTCTACAATCTCTCTAAATCTCCTGCTCTTAAGTTTCAATCACTGAGAGTTTCACATTTGCAGTTTATTAAAAAACAGGTACAAAACTGAAGTATAAAAAAGTATCAAAAGTACAAAACAAAAAAGTCGTACAAAATGAGATCAAACTAAATTAAAGCGTTTTTTTTCAAGCTTCGCCAGGTTCTCATTCTACAGTTTAACATAATCCACACACAAAGACTCAGACCACAGCTGTGTCCAGAGACAAGCCCCGTTTCCACCGGCCCTGTGTAACCAGTGCTAGGTCCTTCTTTAGTCCCTCTTAGTCCTGGTTCTATCCAGGCCGAGCTGGTACTAAAGTGTTCTAACTGACAGTGATTGGCCAGAGAGCTGCTGGAGGCCATGTTACCAAAGATTTCCCCGGATATTAGACAGTCGATTCTGTACCAGACACTAGAGGGTAATGGAAACACAACCAGGAAGAGTAGGGCTGGAGGAAACGGGGAGAAACACTCCAGGTTTAAGGCCCTAAAGCCAATGACAGACTCAGCTCTAGTTTGACGACATTAAAGCTGGGGTACGTAACTTTAAACTACACTAATATAATCCATGAGAAGATCAGCATGTTGTGGTCTGGTTTCACAATATTTTCCAAGACTCTTTTAGACCACTCCATGTGTCCTATTTGAAACAGTAAAGTTACATACCCCAGCTTTAATGCCCACAGCTGACAGTTAAAGGCCCTGTTCCAAATCCACATTTTGGTACAAACTGGATCAGAGCAGAGTCTAAACCCTCAGCCTTCTGAGAGTCCATGTTTTAGAGCAGTCTAAACAAATACATAAAGCACAAGGCTGGTTTAAAGGACGGCTTCAGGTCTGAACTAACACCTTTAAAAACATTTGGAAGAGACAGCTCCGAAGGTAAACTCCTGCTCCCATTTCAAGTTACTGCCTTAAAACTACAAGTTAGCAGTAGAAAAAGCAAACGGGGTTTATATTAAGGACGGATTGAGACTAAAGCTGCTGATGTGACAGACTCAGTGAGACAGGAGCAGGAGGGATAGAGGCCCCCTTAAGGAGCAAGAGGGATAGAGGCCCCCTTAAGGAGCAAGAGCTGGCCTCAGAGCTGTCGTCCCGTTGGAGCCGCTCCTCACGGACGGCACGTTACAAAAGTCACATTTGAGTTTGTGTGGGACGGATCCAGTTCCACAGTGATAGCTGCCCTGAGAGGTGCCTGCTCCACACCAGGGGTCCTACAGAGGTCCTTCAGGCACAGAGAGGCCTCCCGTTTGGTCCAAAGTCTTGAGAGGACGAGGCCTACGCCAGCAGAGCTGTGGAAGAGCGGAAATGGAGGTTAGAGCCACAGGAGTCCCCAGTCCCATGTTCTATGAGGACTCATCCAACTCCATGTCATTCCTCATACGCTCCCAGAGCAGTCAAATTGATGGCTTTAGTCATAACCGTTTCTATATGTAGTTTATTTACATTTCATTTTCTTTTCTTTGTGAAATGTGAAGTTCTAGCGTTAACTCCCAGAGCAGTCATTTTGACTGCCTCATTCATTTGAGCCTCAGTCCCCACCAGGCCTTGAACCCTCACCCTTGTCAGTGTTGGCGGTCTGCTTCTCCTGAGCATAGTTCAGTCGGTTCTGTTCCACTGCGGTCGTGTTGGACTCTGGACTGCTGCTCCGGGTCGGGCTGCCCTCGATAGCATTGTTAGCATCGTTAGCATACGCTAGGTCCAGGTGCTGCTGCGCTAACTTCAGGTGTTTGCGCAGGCGCTCATGGTCCCGACTGGAGCCGTCCCCAAAGCAGTCCCGGCCCGAGTCCAGGTTATCTCTGAGGACAAGGAGGAACAAAGTGAGACCATGTGAGCCCAGAGGTGAGACCATGTGAGCCCTGGAGTCACTAATGGTCAGCGTCACTCACCTGAAGGCCATCTTTCCTGGAGCTCCCTTCTTGATGGCAGTGTTGTATCCTGGAGGAGCAGACGGCTGCTGACAGAGCGCCCCCCGGTGTCTGGTGCTGCCGTTGCCGAGTTTGCTGTGGTTGTCGTGGCGACGCGGTCGGGGGCGGGGCCTGCACAGACACTCCCTGACGCCGCTGAAGCCCAGGTGCAGGATCTCCAGCAGTGTGAAGAGCAGACAGAGCACGCTCACGGCGTACATGATGCGCAGGAAGATAGTCTTCTCTGTGGGGCGCGACACAAAGCAGTCCACGGTGTGCGGGCACGGCGAGCGCGTACACACGTACGACGGCACCACCTCCAAACCGTACAGAACATACTGCCCAAACAGGAACGCACACTCGAACAGGCCACGAGACAGAAGGTGGAAAACATACACACGCATCAGACCGTCACGCTTTATCCTGCGCCTGCCGTCGTGCTGCGAAGAGACACACACAAGTCAGCGACACACACAAGTCAGCGACACACACAAGTCAGCGACCAGAGGGAGACACACACAGTCAGAGACCAGCCGCACAGAGACAGGTGAGAGAATGACCTCATGTTGAGAAACAAAGCTCAGTCACAGATGTCTGGACAAGTTCCCGCTTCCTCAGCTTTGTCTCCGGGCCTCACCTTCTTGCTGGGCTTGTCCTTGTCCTTCTTCTCCTTCTCGGGCTCGATCTCCTCCAGGATCATGGGGTCCTCCTCCCCGTTGTCCTCGGCCTCCTCGTAGTCCCGGTCTGGTCCTCGGTTCACCATGGGCATCTTCCTGCGGGGTTTGTAGTCCTCATCGTCCATTCGGGCGATTTTGTGCATGGCGAAGCCCAGGTACATGATGGTGGGGGTGGAGATCATGATGACCTGAGGAGGACAGGACCAGGTGAGACCAGAGCAGCTGTGGTGGATCCTTTACACTGAGGACCAGAGCGAGGCAACCCAGTGAAGTCCATTTATTAAACAAACATTACAGTCTCTTTGCATTACACAAAAACAAACATTACAGTCTCTTTCTGCTCCTACACCTGAAGACAGAAGTCATTTTTCTAACACATGGTGCATTTAGCCATTAAACCATTTTTGTTTTAAACTTAGCATTTTGACGGCCTTGGCTCTGGATCACAGATGACAGAATCTGAAGACAAACCGTTTGTGTATTTGTGCCTTGCCCTAAAAACACAACAGCAGTCGTCTGGGAGGACTTTGATTTGTTGTTTGTGAATACACAACTTTGTAGAGAATCAAACAGTTTGACACAGGAAATAAACACATAGGAGTCATTGGTCCATAGGGAGCAGAATGACCACTGTCCAGAAATAAATGTCCTGGATCATCACTGTCCTCAGATCCTACTGCAGCAAAGGGACGTCGGGGGGGTAAGTACCTGGAAGGCCCAGAAGCGCACGTGAGAGAGCGGGGCGAAGGCGTCGTAGCACACGTTCTCGCACCCCGGCTGGTTCGTGTTGCAGGAGAATTTACTCTGTTCATCGTAGTAGATGGATTCTCCTCCCACCGCCGTCAGCACGATGCGGAACACGATCAGCAGCGTCAGCCAGATCTTACCCACAAACGTAGAGTGGTTCGAGATCTCATCCAGGAGGCGCGTCAGGAAGGACCAGCTCATGGTGAGGGAGGAGGAGGTGCTGAGGAGAGAGAGGAGGAGGTCAAGAGAGGCATGTGAGGAAAGGGCAGCTCATGGTGAGGGGGGAGGAGGTGCTGAGGAGAAAGAGGAGGAGGTCAAGAGAGGCATGTGAGGAAGGACCAGCTCATGGTGAGGGAGAAGGAGGTGCTGAGGAGAAAGAGGAGGAGGTCAAGAGAGGCATGTGAGGAAGGACCAGCTCATGGTGAGGGAGAAGGAGGTGCTGAGGAGAGAGAGGAGGAGGTCAAGAGAGGCATGTGAGGAAGGACTAGCTCATGGTGAGGGAGAAGGAGGTGCTGAGGAGAGAGAGGAGGAGGTCAAGAGAGGCATGTGAGGAAGGACTAGCTCATGGTGAGGGGGGGGAGGAGGTGCTGAGGAGAAAGAGGAGGAGGTCAAGAGAGGCATGTGAGGAAAGGGCAGCTCATGGTGAGGGGGGAGGAGGTGCTGAGGAGAAAGAGGAGGAGGTCAAGAGAGGCATGTGAGGAAGGACCGGCTCATGGTGAGGGAGAAGGAGGTGCTGAGGAGAGAGAGGAGGAGGTCAAGAGAGGCATGTGAGGAAGGACTAGCTCATGGTGAGGGGGGGGAGGAGGTGCTGAGGAGAGAGAGGAGGAGGTCAAGAGAGGCATGTGAGGAAGGACTAGCTCATGGTGAGGGGGGGGAGGAGGTGCTGAGGAGAAAGAGGAGGAGGTCAAGAGAGGCATGTGAGGAAAGGGCAGCTCATGGTGAGGGGGGAGGAGGTGCTGAGGAGAAAGAGGAGGAGGTCAAGAGAGGCATGTGAGGAAGGACCGGCTCATGGTGAGGGAGAAGGAGGTGCTGAGGAGAGAGAGGGAGGTGGTCAAGAGAGGCATGTGAGGAAGGACTAGCTCATGGTGAGGGGGGGGAGGAGGTGCTGAGGAGAGAGAGGAGGAGGTCAAGAGAGGCATGTGAGGAAGGACTAGCTCATGGTGAGGGGGGGGGAGGAGGTGCTGAGGAGAAAGAGGAGGAGGTCAAGAGAGGCATGTGAGGAAGGACCAGCTCATGGTGAGGGAGAAGGAGGTGCTGAGGAGAAAGAGGAGGAGGTCAAGAGAGGCATGTGAGGAAGGACCAGCTCATGGTGAGGGAGAAGGAGGTGCTGAGGAGAGAGAGGAGGAGGTCAAGAGAGGCATGTGAGGAAGGACTAGCTCATGGTGAGGGGGGGGAGGAGGTGCTGAGGAGAAAGAGGAGGAGGTCAAGAGAGGCATGTGAGGACGGACCGGCTCATGGTGAGGGAGAAGGAGGTGCTGAGGAGAGAGAGGAGGAGGTCAAGAGAGGCATGTGAGGAAGGACTAGCTCATGGTGAGGGGGGGGAGGAGGTGCTGAGGAGAGAGAGGAGGAGGTCAAGAGAGGCATGTGAGGAAGGACTAGCTCATGGTGAGGGGGGGGGAGGAGGTGCTGAGGGAGAAAGAGGAGGAGGTCAAGAGAGGCATGTGAGGAAGGACTAGCTCATGGTGAGGGGGGAGGAGGTGCTGAGGAGAAAGGAGGAGGTCAAGAGAGGCATGTGAGGAAGGACTAGCTCATGGTGAGGGGGGAGGAGGTGCTGAGGAGAAAGAGGAGGAGGTCAAGAGAGGCATGTGAGGACGGACCGGCTCATGGTGAGGGAGAAGGAGGTGCTGAGGAGAGAGAGGAATGTGAGGAAGGACTAGCTCATGGTGAGGGTGGAGGAGGTGCTAAGGAGAGCGAGGAGGAGGTCCTGAGGAGAGCGAGGAGGAGGTCAAGAGAGGCATGTGAGGAAGGACTACCTCATGGTGAGGGGGGGAGGAGGTGCTGAGGAGAAAGTCCTGAGGAGAGGGAGGAGGAGGTCAAGAGAGGCATGTGAGGAAAGGGCAGCTCATGGTGAGGGGGGAGGAGGTGCTGACTGAGGAGAAGGGAGAGATGACGACACGTAGAAGGGGGAGAGGAGGTGTGTGTGAAAGCTCAGAAACCAGGAGGTGTAACAGCTGCAGCTCTGTGTGAAGAGAAGGACCACAAGGAGCGTCCTGGACCCAGTGATATTTACACCGGTCACTCACATTCACTCTGTCCCAACGAAACTAAACAGACTCAGAATCTGCCACGACGACAATCGTGTCGACCTTCAGACCTTCAACATTAAGTGGAAAAGTACGGACTGCTGCAGAGTGTTGTTAAAAGTGAACATCTTACAACATCATTGCATCAAGTGTGAAAAGATCCACGTGGCGTTGGACCAGAGGAAGTGTCCGTGCAGAGGTCAGCACATCTGCGACCACAGGAAACGCCCGCGCTTTAGTCTTCAGCTAAACATACTCATTACAGATGTAGTACTGTCCATCCAAGCAGTCGCAGCTACTGTCAGAGTATAAAACGCGGAAACAGGTTTTAGAATAATTTATAGTCGTTGTAAGTAACAGGAAGTCACAAACTAAGACTTTGCTTTGGGCTCGTGGTGAGAACAAGTTATAACTGTTACAACAGGACTGTTGCCAAGGGACCCATGCTACAGAACACGTCTGAACTGCCTCTGCCACCAATAACTACGGACTAGAAGCAAAGAAACTAGCGAGGATGTTCTGATGTCCCCCCCTCTCCCACAGTCCTCCACCCCTCTCCACAGTCCTCCCCCCCCCCCCCTCTCCACAGTCCTCCACCCCTCTCCAGTCCTCCACCCCATCTCTTCCACAGTCCCTCCCCCCCCCCCTCTCCACAGTCCCCCCCCCTCTCCAGTCCTCCACCCCTCTCCACAGTCCTCACAGTCCCCCCCCCCTCTCCAGTCCTCCACCCCTCTCCACAGTCCTCCCCCCCCCCCCCCCCACAGTCCTCCCCCCCCCCCCCCCTCTCCACAGTCCTCCACCCCTCTCCACAGTCCTCCCCCCCCCTCTCCACAGTCCTATGTTAAAACTCACACAGTCCTAAATGTAAATGTTCTTTTGATGTTTGCTTCATTTGTTTCACACAGAAACAAGCTCAGAAGTGGAAACTCCACTTCAGGTTTGGTCACATGTCAAAGGCTTTAAGACTTAAAACACCTCCTGCTGCTCCAGAGGCAACTAAACACTTATCTACTGCATCTGCCACTGCATCTGCGGCTGAGAACACCCCTGAACCACAGACCACAGCAGAGGCACATTTAAATGCAGGAGCGATTGAAAGAAGACAATAGAGATTGTTAGGAGCAGTTTTATCACCATCACTGAGATTCATATTCACTGAGACCCGAGGTTCCACACCCCTCACCCATCTCCCCCTGCCCTGTGGGAGACCGCTGCACACAAAAGACTTCACACATACTTGGAAGGTTTAACACTAATTACCTGCAGCGGTGGAACTCCAGTTATTTGACCATCTGTAGGAACCATCTACAACCACCGCCTGCAGCTTTCAGGACTTGAGTCTGGACCAGTTTATCAATACAGATGTAAGAGTAACTCGTTTAGACAGTGACCGCTGTCCAGGTCCGAGATCACAGAGTTCATTCTGGACAAAACTTGCCCAATGCTTATTTTTATCTGTGGAAACTGTCACAGCACTTTTGCTCGTTTCCCCTTTTAAGATAAAAAATAACGAAGAGATCCTGCATTTGTCCCACAGAGGGGACATTTCAGTTTTAAAGAACCAACACAAGATAAGTGAATATTAAGTACAGTACAAGGCAACACTATTTTACTTCTAATGGATAAGGATATATTTGGATTACACTAGTTTCCAAACACATGAGGTCTTACACATTTATCCAATCTAAGATGTTCTAGTTGCAAACAAAGCTAAATGATGGAGTGAACCACAAATCTTTCTGTTAAGTGGAGATCTAAAGGCTTCTGGTTGTAAAACAGGAGGCCAATTAGAGGAAGAGGGGGAAAAGTGACATTCCTCATCAACTTTCCCCTCAAAACTTCACACCAATTCTAAATCTTAGCCAAACCAACTAGTCCCATTTGTGACCTGTCTGTTAAAATAAAGCATACCTTGTATTGTACATAATATATCCTTCATTTAACATGTTTGCACATTTCTTTCTTCTGCACAATCTTGAATGATTCTATCCATGCCAGATGTGACACGTAAAGTTCTCCTGTGTGAGATCAATAAAATCCATCTCATCTCCTTTTAGGCTTCCAACATGGGCACCAGTTTAGAAGACTGTCTGCTGAAACACTATTGAGTCATTTTGAGGCCGGAAACATGGAACAAACAGGCTTCTGTCCTCCTCTCACTGCTGACCACACTGCTGCTTCACACTCCACACTACACTTTATCTCTGGCTCCAGAAACAGACGCTTTATGAACTTTAGCATCTTAATTTCACACAATTTAAACCCAAACTTGCTGCACGTGCAGTTGTTTACTGACATACACAAGATGGCGGCCACGCTGGTGACGTAGCACCAGTTATCCTAAAAAAAAAATTTAAAAACTCAGTTTATGATGAAAAATATTGAAACCAAGACTTTCTATTGACTCACGTTTATTAGAAAGTTACAACAATGTGCCTTTTATGACATAAAGCCTTTAGGGGCGACAGGAAGTGACAAGTTTCGGATTTAGCCAGAATTCCAAAGGGGATTTAGACAAGACATTGATTTTTATCATGCTTTAAAAACAAAGTTACCATTTTTCTAAATCAATGCATTTAAAGCAAAGCGTTCATCTCGAATACACAAAATTGTCCTGGTTATTCTGAGGGAACTGTAGTTTTAATGGCAGAAATGATGAGGTTCTGACTTGAGCTAAAGCTACTGTCTGGGCGCTTCTTCCCATTGTTTTGCATTGTTCCTCAGACACAACACAATCCCACGGTATTAGAATGAGATGGAGTTTGCAGAACTGGGTTTAAATGTGCATCATTATTAACTTAAAAAAGCAAACCACAGCTGGAGTCACTAAAACGTGTTTTTCTCCTGTTTTAAAAGCATCAAACTGTACACTGCGCTGTTTTAATGCAACAAAACTGGACACGTACGCAACTGGATATAAGGCAAGTTTTCTCAGTGTACAGAGAGCGCCGCGGCTTGAGAGCAGCCCCCAGCCCCAATAACCCACACTGACCCATGCACCCACACATGCAATGCACGGGTCCCCTCTGCACACGCTGCATTGTTCTTACCGTGCTCTGGCGCTGGCTGGTGCCCGGGGTTCGCTGCTCTCTCTCGGGTTCGCTGGCTCTGCCTTTTGTCGCAGGTGTGAACGGCTCCGGAGATTGGAGCCTTTATAGAGCAGGACGTGTCCGGGGTTTGGCGCTGATTTGTGGGGCGAGGACAAAGGCTGCACCCACCCCCACGATCCCGAGTCACAGCGGGGACCCCCACCCCCAAAGCCCACGCTGGAGCTCTGGTCTGCGAGAAAACTGGGCTAAACTGAGTAAAAACTGGGTTAAACTGAGTAAAAACTGGGGGAAACTGAGTAGAACTGAGGTGAATGAGGATAAATGTTCAGAAAAATGTGACGCTGGTGATGTAATTGATATATATATATATTATCACAGCAGTAAAGGGCCACACTCAGACAGGGGTGGTGCAACGTGGACCTGCATCATGTGGGGAGATAGAATATAATATATGTTTACTGGGGTCTGCCACTTTCAGATCAAAACAATAAAACTCTGTAATAAACCCTATAAGCTTTAAAACCCTATAAGCTCTAAAACAGTTGATCCTATCACGAGTTTTTACATCATGTATTTTTGGCCTCTGTCACATCTTTAGAGCAGCTTGTTCAGACAGAAAAGTGAAAAAGAGAGGACCACCCTCACTCAGACAATAAGCTCTCAGCCCAAAAAGTCAAATACTGACTCACAGGGCTCTCTTTTTCTATGCAAAAATATGTTTTCTAATGAACTGGTTGTCTGATTTGTTTACAACATTTTACTTATAAGTTCTTGTTATTCATACACAAAACAAATATAAAATGTACAAAAATATATTTAAAAAACATTTTTATTTTGCCAGCAGTACTCATATCTACCAGCAGGAGTCGCCTGAACGAGCGCGTCGTTTCCATAGAGACACAATCTTTTCCCAACACAGAACTGCTCAAGGCGAAAAAGCAAATTTCCGACGGAGAAATATTCTTTTCACTACATATAATATTATACATATTCAATTTAGAATGCCAGTTTAAATTCAAGGACAATCACCAGTTCAGGTTCAGACTTGGGTAAAGCTTATCTCTCTACAGCCTAAAAATACTGTACTGGGGTAAAAGAAGCTATACTACCATGAGTTTTTTTTCTCCCGACACAAATATGGCCTTGATTAAACTCTGACCTAAGTTTGACCTAAATAAGTTTCACTGAACTTAAAGCTCAAATGAATCCTTGAATTAAATCCCATTTCATAATTTATTGTATCTGCGAGTAAAGACACGAAAGTAGAGTAAGATTTGAAAAGCGCAAGAGTGTGTTGGGTTAAAAAATATATATATCATGATCATGAATTCAACAGCGCTGGAAACGTTGTTGACAAGAGCCTTTACACAGACAAGATATGTGTGTTTTATTGTAGTAGTGTTATCATAATGTAATCACTTATATTCGTGCTTTAGTTCAGGGACCTGGGCAGACTGAGACAGCAGGTGGCGCTAATGCTCTGTTCTCTCCCCAGCGAAGCCTCCTTGACGACCATGGCGGTTTGACATAGCAACGGGGTCCTCGGAGCTGCCGTGCCGTTACCGCTGTCCTGTGTCTCTGTCCCAGCACCATGGACCCCTCGGTGGTCTCCAGGACACAGCAGACTCTGGGGAAAGTCATAAAGAAACCTGCTCTCAGCGAAAAGTATCTGAACAAGCCTCCGTTCAGGTTCCTCCACGACATCTTCACTGAGGTAGCCATTGATGCTAACGGCTAATGACGTCACAATGCTAATATGACACTAGCATGACTTTAGGATGCTAATAAATCTTGTCATTTCTTAAGTTTTGCAAAACAAGTTTATTTGTATAGGCAGTTCACCACATAAGGCATTAGCTAACCTACATCATAAAACATCACAGTACATTAAAAAGAGTTGAGATACAATCCTTCAGTTGTATGCACGGATAAAGAATGTAGCTAAATATTAAACAGAACAGAAAGAAGCTGGACTGGGTCATCAGGAAGTCCAGTTCTGCTCGTTTTCTCTGCTGCTAAACTACAATATTAACATGTGTGAATTTGTGACTGCTGACAACAGTAGACTCCACCAGTGCCTGATCTCTGACCCAAGTGCACTCACAGCTTCAGTGTTTATCTTCCGTTTATTATGTGTTTATGATCTTAGATAATCTTGTTTGATGAGTGTGTATCCTGAAAGAGAGGAAAGAACAAAGATTTGTGTCATTTTTTTCTTGTAAACTGTAATACTGTCTGATCTGAGTGGATTGTTCAAACAGCAAATCAATCCTGATACATATTTTTCTAAACAATGAATATAATCATTACACAATTACTGCATTTTACTTTATTTATTGAAGAATCGTTGTTTTAAAATAAAAAAACATGAAAAAAAACATGATTTTAACTATTTTCTCTGTTATTTATGGCCCTTTGTGCTAAGTCTGGGTCTGGGTTAGGTCATGGTCTGGGCCTAGGTCATGGATCTAATGACCTGGTCCAATAGATTTCTGTGAAAGAGAAATGTCTTTGTGTTTTAGGTGATCAGGACGACCGGCTTCATGAAGGGACTGTTCACCGAGACCGAGCTCAAGTCGGACAACATCAAGGTCTTGTTATGATCAGTAGAACCAGGACTTGACTGGTCTGAGACTGGACCTGGACTGGACCTGGACTGGACCTGGACTGGACCAGGACTGGACCAGGACTGGACCAGGTCTGAACTGAGACTGGACTAGGACTGGTCTCACTCAGGTTTCGTCCTCAGGAGAAGGAGGCTAAGATGGCGTTCCTGCAGAAGGCCATAGACTTGGTCGTCATGGTGACCGCTGAACCTCTGTCGGTGAAACCCGCCCGAATTGTGTCCGGACACGAACCAGAGAAAACCAATGCTCTGCTGCAGGCCATCGCCCTCTGCTGCATCAACAAGGTACTACAGTGACTACCATGTGGGTCTTGTCCACGGGGCCTGGTCTAGTCTGGTCCAGTTGCGTTCACACTCGTCTCTCTGTCCCAGGTCTCCAGTGATGACGCAGTGCGGAGGCTTCTGTCCGGAGACAAACAGGGGCCACAGAACCGAGAGGAGGGCCCCCGCGGAGCTGAGGTGAGAACGACCAATCACAGGACATCACAACAGAGCACAGACATAGCAGCAGGCCACAGGAAACAACAGTAGCTCTGAGTCATAAAGAACTGAAGTAAAAGTAAAATGTTGAACACGACAGACCACGATAGGTGTCTTCATCTTGTCAGAAAACATCTTTTATATCAGAAAGATCCCTGTGAATCACTATCTGCCTCTTTGGGCTGAGAGCTGATTGGCTAAGAGAGGGTGGTCCTGTCTTTGATCTAAAGGGTTTATTATATTGTGGTCTGAAAGTCACAGACCCCAGCAATAAAGTTACGGCCCCCAGCTTTAATTCTTGTCTTTACAGGGAAAGAGCAAGAAAACAAAGTCTGAAGAACCTAAAGAGGAACAGACAGAGCGACAGAAGAACAAGGACCCTGAGCAACGTCACAGAGAGAGGAGAGAGAAGGAGAAACGAGAGGAGAGGAAGGAGGAGAAGAGAGAGGAGAAGGAGGACAAGAAGTTAGACAAGAAGTTAGACAAGAAGTTAGACAAGAAGGAGGAGCGGCGAGACGGAAAGGAGAGGAGGGAGAAGAGGAGTGAGGAGAGGGACATGACCAAAGACAAACACAGAGAGAAGGAGAGAGAGCGCAAGCCCAAGACCCGGACCAGACCTGCTGAAGACCCACCTCAGCCTCAGGTGAGACCACACCCCCCTCAGCCTCAGACCACACCCACCTCAGCCTCAGACCACACCCCCCTCAGCCCCAGACCACACCCACCTCAGCCTCAGACCACACCCACCTCAGCCTCAGACCACACCCCCCTCAGCCCCAGACCACACCCACCTCAGCCTCAGACCACACCCACCTCAGCCCCAGACCACACCCACCTCAGCCTCAGACCACACCCCCCTCAGCCCCAGACCACACCCACCTCAGCGTCAGACCACACCCCCCCTCAGCCTCAGACCACACCCACCTCAGCCTCAGACCACACCCACCTCAGCCTCAGACCACACCCACCTCAGCCTCAGGCCACACCCACCTCAGCCTCAGACACACACCCCCCTCAGCTTCAGACCACACCCACCTCAGCGTCAGACCACACCCCCCCTCAGCCTCAGACCACACCCACCTCAGCCTCAGACCACACCCACCTCAGCCTCAGGCCACACCCACCTCAGCCTCAGACCACACCCACCTCAGCCTCAGGCCACACCCACCTCAGCCCCAGACCACACTCACCTCAGCCTCAGACCACACCCACCTCAGCCTCAGACCACACCCACCTCAGCCTCAGGCCACACCCACCTCAGCCTCAGGCCACACCCACCTCAGCCCCAGACCACACTCACCTCAGCCTCAGACCACACCCACCTCAGCCTCAGACCACACCCCCTCAGCCTCAGACCACACCCACCTCAGTTGAGACCACACCCCCATGTCTGTGATAAAGTAACCATACCCCTTCTTGTTATGACCACAAAAGTAACGTTACTGTTCAGTGATTACAGTATAATACAATACATCAAATAGATCTGATAGAGCTGTCTCAGATTAGTGGGGGTGGGTCCCGGCTCAAAAGTGGCCAAAATGACGTCCGCTGACATGCTGCAATACCACCCCGGGCCGATGGGGGTGGACCCGGAATAAGAATTAGCCAATGTATCATATAGCATCTTCTTACCTCTCAAAAACGTCTTTACAGGATGGTCCAAAAGTGGCTCTTGGCCCAAAGTCACTCGTTTAAATGAATGGGGCCCGTGCAGCTGACGCATGTGCAGATGCGTTTTTTTACATTTTCCAGCCCCCGCGGCCATTTTGAATCACTCCATGAAAGCCAAATTTTTGGCCCATTAGTTAGAACGGCGAAGATAGGCGTGACTACGTCCGTTCATATATACAGTCTATGTCTCAGATTAGGGCTGTCAGATGAGTGACAGGTTTAGTGTTCCTTTTCCACAGGTGAAAAGTGAAGCTGCTCCCCAGAAAATCACCCCAGAAGAACCTGCCCCAGCAGTGGTGAGTGAGACCCAGACCCAGACCCTGACCCTGACCCTGACCCTGACCCTGACTCTGACCCTGACCCTGACTCTGACCCTGACCCTGACTCTGACCCTGACTCTGACTCTGACGCTGACTCTGACTCTGACTCTGACCCTGACTCTGACCCTGACCCTGACTCTGACCCTGACCCTGACTCTGACCCTGACTCTGACCCTGACCCTGACTCTGACCCTGACCTCTGACCCTGACTCTGACCTCTGACCCTGACCCTGACCCTGACCCTGACCCTGACTCTGACCCTGACCCTGACCCTGACCCTGACTCTGACCCTGACTCTGACCCTGACCCTGACCCTGACCTCTGACCCTGACCCTGACCCTGACCCTGACCCTGACCCTGACTCTGACCCTGACCCTGACCCTGACCCTGACCCTGACCCTGACCCTGACCCTGACCCTGACCCTGACCCTGACCCTGACCCTGACTCTGACTCTGACTCTGACCCTGACCCTGACCCTGATCCAGGCTCTTGTTCATGTTTCAGGAGACTTCTGCTCGGCTTCCTCGTCCGTCTTCAGCCAAAGGACAGAGACGCAGAGCTACTGTGGGCAGCCAGGGTAACACACGCACACGCACACACACACACACACGCACATACACACGCACATACACACACACATACACACACACACGCACACAGAAAGAGGTGCAGTTTCCTCATGACATTTTCTGTTTCTCCACAGATGAGTCGGACAGTGATGCAGGTGAGTCACAGTGGGTTTGGAGAGACCAGAGAGAGAGAGACCAGAGAGATAGAGACCAGAGAGAGAGAGACCAGAGAGAGAGAGACCAGAGAGAGACCAGAGAGAGAGAGACCAGAGAGAGAGAGACCAGAGAGAGACCAGAGAGAGAGAGACCAGAGAGAGAGAGACCAGAGAGAGTTAGAGACCAGAGAGTTAGAGACCAGAGAGTGAGAGACCAGAGAGAGAAACCAGAAAGAAAGACCTCCGTTTGAACCCTTGTAATTCTCATGTTTTTGCAGATGCAGAAATGGTTCAGAAAGTCCCAGAGGCGTCTGCTGAGGCAACTGAAGCTGCTCCCAGGTCAGACCCCAGGCCCTAGACTCAGGTCCCAGACTCAGGTCCCAAACTCAGGTCCCAAACTCATGTCCCAGACTCAGGTCCCAGACTCAGGTCCCAGACTCAGGTCCCAGACTCATGTCCCAGACTCATGTCCCAGACTCATGTCCCAGACTCTGGTCCCAGACTCTGGTCCCAGACTCATGTCCCAGACTCATGTCCCAGACTCATGTCCCAGACTCATGTCCCAGACTCATGTCCCAGACTCAGGTCCCAGACTCAGGTCCCAGACTCAGGTCCCAGACTCATGTCCCAGACTCAGGTCCCAGACTCAGGTCCCAGACTCAGGTCCCAGTTTGTGTTGTGTTCTGCAGGAGGATGGTGAGACCCAGCAGTGCACGACCAGCGCCCCCTATAGTCAAGAAGCAGGAGCCTGAGCCAACAGCTGAGAGGTGAGTGAGGCCTCCTCCTCTTCCTCCTCCACCTCCACCTCCACCATCACACAAACATTTACAATCATAAGAATACAGAGTACGTTGAACTGGACTCTAAAACCGGTCTGACCTCTCTTTCTTTCTTTCTCTCTTTCTCTCTTTATCTCTTGCTCTCTTTCTCTCTCTCTCTTTCTCTCAGATCCTCTTCTGCTAAAGTCTCGTCCCTGATCCTGGACAGCAGGAGACCTGAGGAAGAGGAGAACGATGAAGACCAACAGTTCCTGGTGCAGGAAGTGACGACCACTGAAGCTCTGGATACAAACACTGTGAGGACCAGTCCAAGAGACCAGAGAGAGACCAGAGAGAGAGACCAGAGAGAGAGACCAGAGAGAGAGACCAGAGAGAGAGACCAGAGAGAGAGACCAGAGAGAGAGACCAGAGAGAGAGACCAGAGAGAGAGACCAGAGAGAGAGACCAGAGAGAGAGACCAGAGAGAGAGACCAGAGAGAGAGACCAGAGAGAGAGACCAGAGAGAGACCAGCGAGAGAGACCAGAGAGAGAGACCAGAGAGAGAGAGACCAGAGAGAGAGACCAGAGAGAGAGAGACCAGAGAGAGAGAGACCAGAGAGAGAGAGACCAGAGAGAGAGAGACCAGAGAGAGAGACCAGAGAGAGAGAGACCAGAGAGAGACCAGAGAGAGAGAGACCAGCAAGAGACCAGAGAGAGAGAGACCAGAGAGAGAGAGACCAGAGAGAGAGAGACCAGAGAGAGAGAGACCAGAGAGAGAGAGACCAGAGAGAGAGACCAGAGAGAGAGAGACCAGAGAGAGAGAGACCAGAGAGAGAGACCAATGATAGAATTCTAAGCTGTTCAGAGATGCTACATTAAAGACCTCATGATTGTAGAGTGATGGTTATTGTTTGTCTTTTTGTGCAGGTGTCGACAGAAGCAGAGGACGACCCCACGACTCATGGTACGTCTCACACCAAACTGTTCCTCTGGTCCTCCTCATGTACCAGTAACACACAGACCAGTAATAGTAATGCATGGGTTTAAACAGTGCCTTTCTGGACACTCAAAGTCTCTTCATACGTCATTATTCTTTCACTCTATAAACAGTGTTGATAAACTTATAATGTAGCCACATCTGCCCCGGGGCACACTGACAGAAGTAAGGCAAACAGTATGTGCCATCGGCCCCTCCCACCACCAACCATTCACACACACACACACACCACACTAATTCTAATGTGGGGGAAATGTCTTGCTGCATAAAGACACAATTTAAAGACCTTATGACGGGTTTGATTTATTTAGAAATACAGTTTTAATACCATTTTATATTAGAAGAGAACTACTAAAGGTTTCAAAATCAGTTGTTGTTTTTTTTGTCTGATCCCCCCAAATCGAAATAACCCCATAGCAACGCCCTTAGAAACGAAAAAACTTCACAGCCCTTGGTGACGTCAGAGTGGGTACGTTTCAATGCTGTAAGTTGTTTACAATTTGGTATTTGTTCTTTTTTCGCGGATATTCAAGATGACAAGGCCGTGTACAGCGAGTCTAAGATAACTACTAGAATGTAACATTTTGTTGTCACTGAGATAGTCCAGTGGTTGTGTCGATGAACTGACAATCCAGATACTCAGGTTCAAATCCCACCTCGGACACTTTTTCACACTCAAAACGGCAATTTATGTGTAGTGAGCAATTGTCACCTGTAGAGGGCAGTATTGTGTTAGCATCAGTGGAGAGAAGAGAGAAAAGGCAGTCCTGTGGCATAGATCCATGGTTTTCAATGCATGGGCGTTACCCGCTATGACGTCACACACAGGTTAGAGCATAGACAACTTAAATTCATGAAAAACACGTTCTTTTTATAAAATATAGGATTTTTTTTGCCGGAATCTCTTTCAAATTGACATTGTCATGCAATTTTGATATCCACTATATTTTTTTAAAAAACCCGTCATAAGGTCTTTAAAGACACAGCCGCCCCACTGTGGCACCACGTGTTCCCAGAGGTCTCCCATCACAGCACTAACCGAGCCGAGTTATTCACTCTGTGTCTTTGTGTCTGTGTGTGTGTGTGTGTGTGTGTGTGTGTGTGTGTGTGTGTGTGTGTGTGTCTGTGTCTGTGTCTGTGTGTGTGTGTGTGTGTGTGTGTGTGTGTAGGAGGTCTGGTGAAGAACATCATGGAGACAAAGAGATATTATGAAGTGTCACCGTCTAAAGCTCAGGTAAAACACGGATGTGCACTTTGTTTGTGTCACGTGTCCCTGATGTCCCTCAGTCTCACACGTGTCCCTCAGTCTCACACGTGTCCCTCAGTCTCACACGTGTCCCTCAGTCTCACACCTGTCCCTCAGTCTCACACCTGTCCCTCAGTCTCACACATGTCCCTCAGTCTCACACGTGTCCCTCAGTCTCACACCTGTCCCTCAGTCTCACACATGTCCCTCAGTCTCACACATGTCTCTGATGTCCCTCAGTCTCACACGTGTCCCTCAGTCTCACACATGTCCCTCAGTCTCACACGTGTCCCTCAGTCTCACACCTGTCCCTCAGTCTCACACATGTCCCTCAGTCTCACACGTGTCCCTCAGTCTCACACGTGTCCCTCAGTCTCACACGTGTCCCTCAGTCTCACACCTGTCCCTCAGTCTCACACATGTCCCTCAGTCTCACACATGTCTCTGATGTCCCTCAGTCTCACACGTGTCCCTCAGTCTCACACCTGTCCCTCAGTCTCACACCTGTCCCTCAGTCTCCACGTGTCCCTCAGTCTCACACCTGTCCCTCAGTCTCACACCTGTCCCTCAGTCTCACACGTGTCCCTCAGTCTCACACGTGTCCCTCAGTCTCACACGTGTCCCTCAGTCTCACACCTGTCCCTCAGTCTCACACCTGTCCCTCAGTCTCACACGTGTCCCTCAGTCTCACACCTGTCCCTCAGTCTCACACCTGTCCCTCAGTCTCACACCTGTCCCTCAGTCTCACACGTGTCCCTCAGTCTCACACGTGTCCCTCAGTCTCACACATGTCCCTCAGTCTCACACGTGTCCCTCAGTCTCACACCTGTCCCTCAGTCTCACACATGTCCCTCAGTCTCACACGTGTCCCTCAGTCTCACACGTGTCCCTCAGTCTCACACCTGTCCCTCAGTCTCACACATGTCCCTCAGTCTCACACATGTCTCTGATGTCCCTCAGTCTCACACGTGTCCCTCAGTCTCACACCTGTCCCTCAGTCTCACACATGTCCCTCAGTCTCACACATGTCTCTGATGTCCCTCAGTCTCACACGTGTCCCTCAGTCTCACACCTGTCCCTCAGTCTCACACCTGTCCCTCAGTCTCACACATGTCCCTCAGTCTCACACCTGTCCCTCAGTCTCACACCTGTCCCTCAGTCTCACACGTGTCCCTCAGTCTCACACGTGTCCCTCAGTCTCACACGTGTCCCTCAGTCTCACACCTGTCCCTCAGTCTCACACATGTCCCTCAGTCTCACACGTGTCCCTCAGTCTCACACGTGTCCCTCAGTCTCACACGTGTCCCTCAGTCTCACACGTGTCCCTCAGTCTCACACCTGTCCCTCAGTCTCACACATGTCCCTCAGTCTCACACATGTCTCTGATGTCCCTCAGTCTCACACGTGTCCCTTAGTCTCACACATGTCCCTGATGTCCCTCAGGTCCCCCAGATGCCCCGTCAGGACCAAGTTCACCGTGACTTGGTGCAGCGTGACATGCAGCGGCTGCGCGCCGCGGTGCAGAGCGTGTGCTGCAGCGCTTTGCCGCTCGGGAAAATCATGGATTACATCCAGGAGGACGTGGACTCTATGAGGACAGAGCTGAGCCAGTGGAAGGAGGAGAACAAGCAACATGCCCGAGCACTGGAGGAGGAGAGAAGGTGAGAGAGAGGAGGAGGAGGAGAACAGGAGAGGAGAGAGGAGGAGCATGCAACCCTCACTCTCTGGCTTCTCTAGTCTCTCTCTGCTCTCTTCTTGGTCTCTATGGTCTCTCTCTCACCCCTGTCTCTTCTCTCTCTCTGGTCTCTCCTCTGTACTTTCTCTCTCCTTGGTCTCTGGTCTTTCTCCCCCCTCCCCTCCCGCCTCCCCTCCCCTCTCCCCCTCTCCCTCTCACAGATGCGTGTTGTGTCCACAGGCTGACAGAGGAGGCGCTGTTGCCTCTCCGCTCTGAGCTGCTGGAGCTGGACTCTCTGATCCAGGATCAGCAGACGCAGACCTGTGTCCTCCGCTGCTCTGTGCTGAGGAACGAGGACAAGATCCACAAGATGCTAAGAGGCCTCCAGCACCACAGCTGAGCATCCCATAATACACACAACTGAGCATCCCATAATACACACAACTGAGCATCCCATAATACACAGCAGCCTACAAAGCACATTCCTGACCGAGTGTGACATCACCACAGTGTTAGCTTTAATACAGAAGAAGCTGATTTGAACATAAACTGGAATCGGTCTCCTTATATATGGGCCTTTGTTCTGCCCCTGTTAGCTTTGTGCCGTAACCGGGACAGACGTGTTGCTAAGATGGTTGCTAAGGCAAGCTGGAATTTCCCAGTGAATAAAAGCCTCTGATTGGTCAATCCTTATATGGCATTTAGAAAGATAATATCACATATAAACACCAGGGTCACAGAGAGCGATAAACCACAGATTTCAGCCTAAAACGGTTATTGAACTTCAGGAGTTTACTTTTACATGGAAGTCCATAGGAGCCAGAGAGAGTTGGAGCTAAACTTCTCCCTGAGCACTTCCCATTGGGGATCATTGAGTTCGCGAGTGTGGGTCTGAGGTCTTGTTTTGTCTAATGTGTGAGTGTTTTGTCGAAATAAAAATCTGAGATTAACCAGAATGATTTTCTGTCTCCCTCTCTGGTCTCTTTCTCTTGTCTCTCTCTCTGGGCTCTCTCTCTCTAGCCTCTCTCTCTCTCTCTCCGGTCTCTCTCTCTCTAGTCTCTCGCTCCGGTCTCTCTCTCTGGGCTCTCTCTCTTCAGTCTCTCTCCAGTCTCTTTCTCTTGTCTCTCTCTGGTCTCTCTTTCAGGTTGTATTAAAGGGGTATGTTTATTATGGCTTTTTATTTATTTATTAGTTTTTTTGACAGACATTTGCACCATAAATGACCGGACACAGCTCATGTTCACTCTTAGTCCCTGGTCAGAGGTCACAGCAGCTTTAGTGTTTCAAGAATTAATAAATAAAATGAAACCTTTGACCAGAGAGAGACACAATTTAAACAATATTAACAACACACAGGTTTGTGTGTTTGCAGACATTAACATCAGAGCAAAGAGATCCAGGACTGAATCCGTCTCCTTCTGGTTTTGATTTGTTTAGGCTCAAACCTGTGTCTCCTCCCGTCACCAACGCGGGTCATCCCTTGGGTCTGAGAAAGGGCTAAACTATTTATTTATTTATTTGGATAGTATTAATACTGCACAAAAGGAGTTTGCTGAAGCAAATTAGCTCCGCACCCCCAAAGTCAATATAAAGGCACAAAATAATTACATCTACACATCTTGAATTATAGAATAATCAACAATCAATTTACAGAGTAAAGAATATGTCATGACATTGACTTTGACTTCACAGACCAGAGAGAGACCAGAGAGAGACCAGAGAGAGACCAGAGAGAGACCAGAGAGAGACCAGAGAGAGAGACCAGAAAGAGACCAGAGAGAGACCAGAGAGGGACCAGAGAGAGACCAGAGAGAGAGACCAGAGAGAGAGACCAGAGAGAGAGACCAGAGAGAGACCAGAGAGAGAGACCAGAGAGAGAGACCAGAGAGAGACCAGAGAGAGAGACCAGAGAGAGAGACCAGAGAGAGAGACCAGAGAGAGAGACCAGAGAGAGAGACCAGAGAGAGACCAGAGAGAGAGACCAGAGAGAGAGACCAGAGAGAGAGACCAGAGAGAGAGACCAGAGAGAGAGACCAGAGAGAGAGACCAGAGAGAGAGACCAGAGAGAGAGACCAGAGAGAGAGACCAGAGAGAGACCAGAGAGAGAGACCAGAGAGAGAGACCAGAGAGAGACCAGAGAGAGAGACCAGAGAGAGAGACCAGAGAGAGAGACCAGAGAGAGAGACCAGAGAGAGAGACCAGAGAGAGACCAGAGAGAGAGACCAGAGAGAGAGACCAGAGAGAGAGACCAGAGAGAGAGACCAGAGAGAGACCAGAGAGAGAGACCAGAGAGAGAGACCAGAGAGAGACCAAAGCCTCACTAACAAAAGGACAGCATAGATTTTAAGTTTATGTTTCAAGGCAGTTTCAGTAACACTAACTTGAACTGTTCTTATTACCAGAGTGAGACACAACAACATCTGGTTAAGACAGATCTCCACAAAGCAAGAGTCACCATATAATTATTTCAGATGTACTGACAACAAGTTACTGAGAACTGATTAAACCCATTTCGCTCAAAAAAGAGATGTTGCCGCTCGAAAGCAGAGTATTTTTTACAGAGTGGGCAGTAACCCTATGTAGTGTAGTGTTGTAAGTGTAAATGTTCTTACAATACAATACAATACAATTTATTCTTGTATAGCCCTAAATCACAACAGCATCATCTCAGAGACTTAACAAAACCATTGAAATCACCAACACAGATCAACAGTTGAAACACAAAAAGAATATAGAACACATGTTTATAAATGTCCATACATGTAGAATGTTAAAGTGTCCTGGATCACAGTCCTTCTAGTTGGACACTTACTGCCCAACAGACCCTCCTGCATCGGCAAGGAAAAAAGTGAGAAACCTCGGGGAGACCCATTTGAGAAAGGGATCCGCTCCCACCGACGGACGGGCTCTAGATCCAGGACCTAAGCTACAGAACGTGGACCAGTGGCCGCTGAGCGTGGACAGGTCCGGTGCAGGACTAAGGCACTCCCAGGCGGGTCGGGCAGGGCAGTCTGCAGGTGTAGATGGAGGAGGCCAGGCTCAGAGATCCCGTCATCGTACCATGGAACAGACAATGGGACAACGGGTGAATAGCAATGAAAAAACTACAGTCAAAATCCTAACAATGCTAAACAGGTAAAGTAGAAGGAGGAGAGGATAGTGCAGTTACCATACTTCTCCAGCAGGGGGCTCCCTATGCAGCTTGACTGACAGTCTGAGGAGTTTAGCCTTCCCTGAGTCTTACCTTCCTGACCATATGCTAAACTGCGGATCCCGGGCGGCACGGTGGCTGAGTGGGCGGCACGGTGGCTGAGTGGATAGCACTCTTGCCTCTCAGCAAGAAGGTCCTGGGTTCGAATCCCGGTCGGACCAGGGCCTTTCTGAGTGGAGTTTGCATGTTCTCCCCGTGTCTGCGTAGGTTTCCTCCGGGCACTCCGGTTTCCCCTACCACTAAAAATATGTCCAATAGTTCTGGCATGCGCCTCCTGTACTGGCGACCCCGCTCCCATCTCTGTGTGGAGTGAGAGACAAATGCCCAAAATTAACAATTGTAAACCGCTTTGAGACTCAGATCTGCAGTGAAAAGGCGGTATATAAATAAAAACTTACTTACTTACTTACTTACTAAACTAAAGAGGACTGTTTTAGCCTAGCCTAGAAAGTAGGGTTGAAGATGCAGCGGACCGGGTCCCACATACGCAGACTCCAAGACTTGACAAAACCTGACCGGACAACAACCTAACCAAATGCTAAGTTGAACAAGAGTATTTTAAGCCTGGTCTTAAATGTAGAGACAGTGTCTGCTTCTTTAACATGCGTGGGGAGCTGATTCCACAGTAAAGGAGCTTGGAGCTAAATGCTCTGCCCCCAATAGTGCTTTTTGAAACCTTAGGAACCACCAGACGTCTGGCGTTTTGTGAGCGCAGTGCTCGACTTGGTTGATACGACACTAACTAAGAGGGAGCCAAGCCATTTATGGCTTTATATGTTAAGAGAAGGATTTTAAACTTTATTCTGTACTCCACAGGGAGCCAGTGGAGTGATTTTAACACCGGAGTTATGTGCTCCCTCCTTTTGGTACCTGTTAAGATCCTAGCTGCTGTATTCTGAACCAGCTGGAAGCTCTTCAAAGAGGTTTTAGGGCACGCTGCCAGCAGGGGGCGTTACAGTAGTCGAGCCTTGAAGTGACAAAGGCGTGGATTCGTTTTTCCGCGTCACTTTTAGGAATGAAATCTTTCTATACTGTGTGATGCATTCAAAGATGTGTGATCCCTTTGGAGGAGGTACCTCTCAGCGGGTGCACAGCTCGCCCTGATTATCCTTACTGTCATTTGAACAACAGAAATAACTTCTGTTCCAAGCAGCAACACTCAAACTTGAACAATAAGCTATTAATTGATTGCACTACACCCCCTAGTGGTGACTCAATATTTCTCTATATTTTTCAAAAAAAGTTCATGTTTGGACATTGCTTCATCTCCGTCTCTAATTGGTTCCACAGTTGTACACCATTAACCGTCAGGCTAAAACTAAAGGCTAAAGTGGTCCGATGTTTCTGTGATTAAAAGTTTAGTTCCCCTCGTAATCCATAACATCCAGTACGCTCTAGAAATCTACTTTGTATTTGGTCATAACCTGGCTCAAGACCATGACAAATGTGGACACAGACAACCAAAATGGGATACTTATAGGGTGTTTTATTTTAAAAGAAGATTAACCCAAGTATACCAAAGTAACAATAACAATGAGGTGTGACTGTCTGTAGGATCAGAGGTGTGTGCGAGTGAATGGTTGTGTGTTCGTATGGTGCGATGTGAAGTGTGATGCGGAACAAAACCATAAACTAACAAAGTGGTGTGGCACAGGGCGCAGCTGGGAGAGAGTGAAACTGTCAACAGCCAGGTCCATAAATAGGCGTGGCGTGTCGGGCCCTGACGCACCACGCTCCAAAGGTCCGCCCACAGCTCCACCTGCAGGCACAAGGCAGTACAGCGCACGACCACAGAGAGGAAGGGGTCGTGACAATTTGGTAACAGTTTGTATCTTGCTTTGTATAATATCTGTACTGACATCAGTCTAAAACAGAACTGTCCTCAGAGCAGAACGAGGTCATGTTTGTGGAGAACTTTATTTAAACACCACAAAATGACAACATCAGAACAACAACAATAAACAAGAACCAAGTCTTGATATGTACCTTTTCAACCGCCGCGCGTTTGTCCAGTTTTCAACCAATAAATACAGCCTCAGGTCACTCCACGGCCCTCCCCTGTGGACCCCTCCCCTCTGAGCCCCTCCCCTGTGGACCCCTCCCCTCTGCCTTGTCCTGCAGCCGCAGCATCAGCGTCAGCGCGTGCCGGACCTTGCTCAGCTTGAGGCCGTAGATCAGAGGGTTCAGCAGCGGAGGAACCAACAGGAACTCGATGGTGAAGAAGTTGGCGGCGTGCTGCGAGATGTGGGCGGAGCCAAAGCGCATGTAGAGCAGGTCTAAGAGCACGGAGGCGGTGAAGCTTACCAGACTGACAAGGTGTGGGACACAGGTGTTGGAGAAGCGTGCGCTGCTGTCGCGGCTGTTCACGCAGGCGCGTAGCACGCACACGTACGAACCCAGCACCAACAGGAAGTGAGCGAAGTAAAAGATCATGTTGAAATATACCACCGCCACGTTCTCCAGCGGCAGCTCACAGGTCAGCCGCGTGACCATCCAGTTCACGCAGTACAGGCGCTGAATGCGCACACCGCACAGAGCGCGCCCCATGACCGTTGCTGTGTTCAGGAACATGGCTAGCAACGGCACAAGCCACGACAGCAGCAGCAGCAGCAGAACGCGGCTGCGCGTCATCTCGGCACGGTACGAGAGCGGGCGGCAGATGGCCACGTAACGGTCGTAGGCCATGAGCGTCAGCACCGAGAACTCGCCGCACATGGACGAGTGGATGACGTAACCCTGCAGCAGGCAGGCGCCGTACGACACGCTGCAGGCCGCACCGCAGCGCAGCAGGTCCCACAGGAACTTAGGATAGAAGCCGAGGGTTCCGTACAAAGTGTTCACACACAGGCTGCACATAAACACGTACATGGGAGCGTGTAGCGCTCTGTGCGCCGCCACCAGCGCCACCAGTATCACGTTTGCCGCCACGATCAGCAGATACCACAGCAGCACACAGCAGAACAACAGCGCCCTCTGGGGGGCGGAGAAGGAAAAGCCAGAGAGAGAGAGCACCAGGGAGGCCGAGGCATTCAGCATCACTACTACTGTAGCAGACCCCAGAGCAGACCACAGAGCAGACCCCAGAGCAGACCCCAGAGCAGACCACAGAGACCCCAGAGCAGACCACAGAACAGACCCCAGAACAGACCCCAGAGCAGACCCCAGAGCAGACCCCAGAGCAGACCACAGAGGCACAGAGCGGCAGTTTCTCTGCTCAATAGTCTGAGAATGTCCTATTCATGAAAGTTATGGACCTCAGCTTTAACTTGAGGCTGAGCTTCACCTGAGGTTTAATATTTTAATATCAGTGTCATAAAAGATTGGGAATGTGTGACATCATCAGCGATGATCTGAGTCAGGACACTCTGGTCTGAAACAGGTCTAAAATTGGTCCAAAGCTGCTGTAGAGCTTTGAGACAAGCTTTAAAGCAGGTCTAAAAACAGGTCTGAACCAGGTCTAAAGCAGGACTAAAGCAGGATTAACAACCAGGTCTGAAACAGGTCTAAAGCAGGACTAAAGCAGGATTAACAACCAGGTCTAAAGCAGGTCTAAAGCAGGTCTAAAGCAGGTCTAAAGCAGGTCTAAAGCAGGACTAAAGCAGGACTAAAGCAGGACTAAAGCAGGACTAAAGCAGGACTAAAGCAGGTCTAAAGCAGGTCTAAAGCAGGTCTAAAGCAGGACTAAAGCAGGACTAAAGCAGGACTAAAGCAGGTCTAAAGCAGGACTAAAGCAGGTCTAAAGCAGGTCTAAAGCAGGTCTAAAGCAGGTCTAAAGCAGGGCTAAAGCAGGTCTAAAGCAGGTCTAAAGCAGGTCTAAAGCAGGTCTAAAGCAGGGCTAAAGCAGGTCTAAAGCAGGTCTAAAGCAGGACTAAAGCAGGTCTAAAGCAGGTCTAAAGCAGGACAGCAGGACTAAAGCAGGTCTAAAGCAGATCTAAAGCAGGACTAAAGCAGGTCTAAAGCAGGTCTAAAGCAGGACTAAAGCAGGTCTAAAGCAGGACAGCAGGACTAAAGCAGATCTAAAGCAGGACTAAAGCAGGTCTAAAGCAGGACTAAAGCAGGACAGCAGGACTAAAGTAGTAATAGTCGTAACAGTTTTCAGCTGCTGTTTTGTTCTGTGCTAAAATCTCGACACGAGTTTGTCCTAATTTCCAAACAAAGAATGATGAGGAGCAAGAGTCCAGTCCACTCTCTGAGGAAGACCAGAATCTAGTCCAGGCTCTAGTCCAGACTCTAGTCCAGGCTCTAGTCCAGACTCTAGTCCAGACTCTAGTCCAGACTCTAGTCCAGGCTCTATACAGACTCTAGTCCAGGCTCTGGTCCAGACTCTAGTCCAGGCTCTAGTACAGACTCTAGTCCAGGCTCTAGTCCAGGCTCTGGTCCAGACTCAGATCCTTAAAGATCAGAAAAACCTCTGCAGGACTTAAAGACATGTCGTACAAATCTACAGCTTTAACAACAGAAGAAGAAGAGCTGAACCACAATATCAGATTATATATGTTTTGGGTCCAAACCTTTTCTTTCTACAACAGAAATATGGACAGAACAGAGTGATCTGAGACAAAGCCAGCGATCAGGGGACTTTTGTTCAACATAGACAACAACACAGAACGGAGTCACACAGTCCTTTTGAATCTGATCAGAGACTTTTACACAAACAAGAAATACAGCAATATGTGGAGACTGAAGTGCAGTAGCAGTAGTGGTAGCTGTAGTAGTGGTAGTAGCAGTAGGGGTAGTAGTAGTAGAAGTAGCAGTAGAAGTAGAAGCAGTAGCAGTAGTGGCAGCAGTTCCAGTAGTGAACAGTATTTAAGTCCTGAGTCCTTCGGCCCATAATGCAACACTGACCCGGTGTTTCTCAAGCCAGGTTCAGTCTGATGATGATGATGAGGAGGAGGAAGATGATGAACCTGAACCTAACGAGTCTTTGGGGATGGTCTGTTTGTGGTCAGAGGGTCAGCTCCCAGGGGCCCCATTAAAACCATCAAAACATCACCCCCCAGGGAGACCGTCACAGCACTGCAGCGCTCTGGGATACAGGCTGGGACCGGGACTTTAAAGCTGAGGTACAGGACTTTAAAGCTGAGGTACATGACTTTAAAGCTGAGGTACATGACTTTAAAGCTGAGGTACAGGACTTTAAAGCTGAGGTACATGACTTTAAAGCTGAGGTACAGGACTTTAAAGCTGAGGTACAGGACTTTAAAGCTGAGGTACATGACTTTAAAGCTGAGGTACAGGACTTTAAAGCTGAGGTACATGACTTTAAAGCTGAGGTACAGGACTTTAAAGCTGAGGTACATGACTTTAAAGCTGAGGTACATGACTTTAAAGCTGAGGTACAGGACTTTAAAGCTGAGGTACATGACTTTAAAGCTGAGGTACAGGACTTTAAAGCTGAGGTACATGACTTTAAAGCTGAGGTACATGACTTTAAAGCTGAGGTACAGGACTTTAAAGCTGAGGTACATGACTTTAAAGCTGAGGTACGGGACTTTAAAGCTGAGGTACAGGACTTTAAAGCTGAGGTACATGACTTTAAAGCTGAGGTACAGGACTTTAAAGCTGAGGTACATGACTTTAAAGCTGAGGTACAGGACTTTAAAGCTGAGGTACAGGACTTTAAAGCTGAGGTACATGACTTTAAAGCTGAGGTACATGACTTTAAAGCTGAGGTACAGGACTTTAAAGCTGAGGTACATGACTTTAAAGCTGAGGTACAGGACTTTAAAGCTGAGGTACATGACTTTAAAGCTGAGGTACGGGACTTTAAAGCTGAGGTACGAGACTTTAAAGCTGCGGTACAGGACTTTAAAGCTGAGGTACATGACTTTAAAGCTGAGGTACATGACTTTAAAGCTGAGGTACGGAACTTTAAAGCTGAGGTACAGGACTTTAAAGCTGGGGTACGGGACTTTAAAGCTGAGGTACGTGACTTTAAAGCTGAGGTACGTGACTTTAAAGCTGAGGTACAGGACTTTAAAGCTGAGGTACGTGACTTTAAAGCTGAGGTACGTGACTTTAAAGCTGAGGTACATGACTTTAAAGCTGAGGTACAGGACTTTAAAGCTGAGGTACATGACTTTAAAGCTGAGGTACAGGACTTTAAAGCTGAGGTACATGACTTTAAAGCTGAGGTACATGACTTTAAAGCTGAGGTACATGACTTTAAAGCTGAGGTACAGGACTTTAAAGCTGAGGTACAGGACTTTAAAGCGGAGGTACAGGACTTTAAAGCTGAGGTACAGGACTTTAAAGCCGAGGTACAGGACTTTAAAGCTGAGATACATGACTTTAAAGCGGAGGTACAGGACTTTAAAGCTGAGGTACAGGACTTTAAAGCTGAGGTACAGGACTTTAAAGCTGAGGTACAGGACTTTAAAGCTGAGGTACATGACTTTAAAGCGGAGGTACAGGACTTTAAAGCTGAGGTACGTGACTTTAAAGCGGAGGTACAGGACTTTAAAGCTGAGGTACAGGACTTTAAAGCGGAGGTACAGGACTTTAAAGCTGAGGTACAGGACTTTAAAGCTGAGGTACAGGACTTTAAAGCGGAGGTACAGGACTTTAAAGCTGAGGTACAGGACTTTAAAGCGGAGGTACAGGACTTTAAAGCAGACCCTTATGGACCAATGGCTCTATGTGTTTTTATCATTATATTTCTTGAGTTTGAACTGTGATTTTCTGATCTGTGTTGCAACATTGTAAAGTCTTTTAAATTATGACGGAGGCTAAAGTTACAGACCCCAGCTTTAAACGTGTGTATTTTTATGAAGTGAGATAAACAGACATGTCCTTTGTCCCAGTGCTCTGTGTCCACTCTGCTCTTATCTGAGTCAGGTCCATAAAGCAGCCCTTCATCTGAGCCAAAATGTCTGTCCATAATTGGCCCCCTCCATCTGCATCTGGGTCTACAGCCTCAGTCCTGGGTCTACAGCCTCGGTCCTGGGTCTACAGCCTCAGTCCTGGGTCTACAGCCTCAGTCCTGGGTCTACAGCCTCAGTCCTGGGTCTCATTCTTATCTTCGTCTTATCGTTTCATTACCACAGATTAAGACTCACACGACCAAAGTCCCAGAGACCAGGACCCAGTCACACTGTAGACCCGCTGCAGACCTGCTGGAGTCCAACTTTCTCTTGTAGACCACTTTTAATCCTAGTTTAGTCCATTTTCTGTCCTGCTCCGGTCTTGGTCCAGTCCTGCTCTGGTCCTGGTTCAGTCCTACTCTGGTCCTGGTCTGGTCCTGCAGAGATGGGCCCTCCTGTGGGTCTGTTGTGTGTGTTGCTCTGCTGTTATAGCGCCCCCTACAGCAGTGCGTTTTTCCTCCTGGGGGGTCCAGGGGTGGTGGCTCCTGTGTTTCCCCTGCCAGAGGGCCCGTTGGTGGGAGACTCGGGTCTGGGTGGGCCTGGGTCTTTGGGTCCAGCTTTTGGGAAGACCGCAGCTGGACCTGGATGCTCCTGGATCCTGGAGCAGAAGTTCCAGAAGGAACTCAGAGCTCAAAAGGAAGCGGGAATCGAACATTTCAGAAGCAACCTGCCTCCAGAGCTTCTGTTCAGAGACGACAGGTGAGGGGTACTACTGCTACTGCTACTGCTGCTGCTACTGCTACTGCTGCTGCTACTGCTACTGCTGCTGCTACTGCTGCCAATACGGCTACTACTGCTGTTACTGCTGCTGCTGCTGCTACTGCTGCTGCTGCTGCTACTACTGCTGCTGCGGCTGCTGCTGTTACTGCTACTGCTACTGCTGCTGCGGCTGCTGCTGCGGCTGCTGCTGCTACTGCTACTGCTGCTGCTACTGCTACTGCTGCTGCTACTGCTACTGCTGCTAATACGGCTACTACTGCTGTTACTGCTGCTGCTACTGCTGCTGCTGCTACTGCTGCTACTACTGCTGCTGCGGCTGCTGCTGTTACTGCTACTGCTACTGCTGCTGCGGCTGCTGCTGTTACTGCTACTGCTTCTGCTGTTGCTGCTGCTACTGCTTCTTTTTTTTTTTTTTTTTTTTATTTTTTTTTTTTTTTTTCTTTTTTTTTATTAACTATTACATTTTAATACAATTACAAGAATGAAAACATAAGAGAAAGAAATAAAACAAAATTATATTCGAAATCTAATATTACGGTTTACAAATACAGTAGGTGTTAAGGTGGGAGGGGTTGGGGGGAGGGGGAGAGTAAAAAAAATAAAATAAAATTATTCGGGTTGCGTTTTTTATTGTTTCAGTTCAGCCTTGGTTTGCTACTGCTTCTACTACTGCTGCTACTATACTGCTGCTGCTTCTTCTGCTGCTACTGCTTCTACTACTGCTGCTACTACTGCTACTGCTACTACTGCTGCTGCTGCTGCTACTACCACGGCTTCTGAAATGTTTGAGGTCCCCTTCTCTCCTGCTGTAGTTCTGCTTGTGTCCACAGTGAGGCGCTGTCCTGTGTCCAGTCTCTCCTCTTGTCTGTGACTCGTGCCGATCTTCAACCTGTGATGTTTGTGGACCTGTCGTTAGTCTCAGATGGTCAGGATGGTCCAGACCCAGGTCAGGGTCTTGGCCCAGACCCAGGTCTCCTCCAGCGCTTGGACGTGGTCTTTGCAGAGCTCGGAGGTCTCGTTCACACGTGGGTCTTGTTGATGGACGACATGAAGGAGGCGGAGCTTTACAGTGACGTGCACCGCATCTTTAGACGCCATTTCACAGACGATGGTACGACTACCTCCACGACTCACTGGGACTGGGGCATCTACAACCTGCTGGGACTGGGGCATCTACGACCCGCTGGGACTGGGGCATCTACGACTCACTGGGACTGGGGCATCTACGACTCACTGGGACTGGGGCATCTACTGTACGACTGACTGGGGAGATGTTTCAGTAGATGTTTCAGTAGATGTTTCAGTAGATGTCTCAGTAGATGTTTCAGTAAATGTTTCAGTAGATGTCTCAGTAGATGTCTCTGTAGATGTTTCAGTAGATGTTTCAGTAGATGTTTCAGTAGATGTTTCAGTAGATGTTTCAGTAGATGTTTCAGTAGATGTGATGTTTCAGTAGATGTTTCAGTAGATGTCTCAGTAGATGTCTCAGTAGATGTTTCAGTAGATGTTTCAGTAGATGTGATGTTTCAGTAGATGTTTCAGTAGATGTGATGTTTCAGTAGATGTTTCAGTAGATGTTTCAGTAGATGTCTCAGTAGATGAGATGTTTCAGTAGATGTTTCAGTAGATGTTTCAGTAGATGTTTCAGTAGATGTCTCAGTAGATGTTTCAGTAGATGTTTCTGTAGATGTTTCAGTAGATATTTCAGTAGATGTTTCTGTAGATGTTTCTGTAGATGTTTCAGTAGATGTTTCAGTAGATGTTTCTGTAGATGTGTCTGTAGATGTCTCAGTAGATGTTTCAGTAGATGTTTCAGTAGATGTGATGTTTCAGTAGATGTTTCAGTAGATGTTTCAGTAGATGTTTCAGTAGATGTTTCAGTAGATGTGATGTTTCAGTAGATGTTTCAGTAGATGTCTCAGTAGATGTTTCAGTAGATGTCTCAGTAGATGTTTCAGTAGATGTTTCAGTAGATGTCTCAGTAGATGTTTCAGTAGATGTCTCAGTAGATGTTTCAGTAGATGTCTCAGTAGATGTTTCAGTAGATGTTTCAGTAGATGTGATGTTTCAGTAGATGTTTCAGTAGATGTCTCAGTAGATGTTTCAGTAGATGTTTCAGTAGATGTTTCAGTAGATGTTTCAGTAGATGTGATGTTTCAGTAGATGTTTCAGTAGATGTCTCAGTAGATGTTTCAGTAGATGTCTCAGTAGATGTTTCAGTAGATGTTTCAGTAGATGTTTCAGTAGATGTTTCAGTAGATGTTTCAGTAGATGTTTCAGTAGATGTTTCAGTAGATGTTAGTAGATGTAATGTTCAGTAGATGTTTCAGTAGATGTTTCAGTAGATGTTTCAGTAGATGTTTCAGTAGATGTTTCAGTAGATGTTTCAGTAGATGTTTCAGTAGATGTTTCAGTAGATGTTTCAGTAGATGAGTGATTTCAGTAGATGTTTCAGTAGATGTTTCAGTAGATGTTTCAGTAGATGTTTCAGTAGATGTTTCAGTAGATGTTTCAGTAGATGTTTCAGTAGATGTTTCAGTAGATGTTTCAGTAGATGTTTCAGTAGATGTTTCAGTAGATGTTTCAGTAGATGTTTCAGTAGATGTTTCAGTAGATGTTTTCAGTAGATGTTTCAGTAGATGTTTCATGTAGATGTTTCAGTAGATGTTTCAGTAGATGTTTCAGTGAGTAGATGTTTCATGTAGATGTTTCAGTAGATGTTTCGTAGTGTTTGAGATGTTTCAGTAGATGTTTCAGTAGATGTTTCAGTAGATGTTTCAGTAGATGTTTCAGTAGATGTTTCAGTAGATGTTTCAGTAGATGTTTCAGTAGATGTTTCAGTAGATGTTTCAGTAGATGTTTCAGTAGATGTTTCAGTAGATGTTTCAGTAGATGTTTCAGTAGATGTCTCAGTAGATGTTTCAGTAGATGTTTCAGTAGATGTTTCAGTAGATGTTTCTGTAGATGTTTCAGTAGATGTTTCAGTAGATGTTTCAGTAGATGTTTCAGTAGATGTTTCAGTAGATGTTTCTGTAGATGTTTCAGTAGATGTTTCAGTAGATGTTTCAGTAGATGTTTCTGTAGATGTTTCAGTAGATGTTTCAGTAGATGTTTCAGTAGATGTTTCAGTAGATGTCTCAGTAGATGTCTCAGTAGATGTTTCAGTAGATGTTTCAGTAGATGTTTCTGTAGATCAGGGGTGCTCAATACGTCGATCGCGATCTACCAGTCGATCGCAAAGGTAGTATTGGTAGATCGCATTAAATAAATAAAAAATTACACATTCTAAACGAATATATACAAAAAACTCCGGGCAAAGTGGAGATTTTTGAAAACTCCGTTAATGCATTTGTGTGTAGACAGAGATAACCAGAGTTTTGCGTTCTCGCACGCCACAGTACCCCCCTAAATTCCTCTGATCACTGAAGCATGGATCATACTACCTTAAAAACTGTCCGCTGTGAGATGCTCGCAGCAGCGAACATCCTCGCTCCACATCAGAGAGCAGCAAAGTGATCGCGGGGACTCACGCTCGAAAACAACCAAACCAGGACTAAACCAGGACTAAACCAGGACTAAACCAGGACTAAATCAGGGCTGAGGACGGGGTCAGTGCTTGTAAACATACGTCTTACTCTTTACTCTGAGTGTCTTCTATGACTGTAAAAGTGCCGTTACCGGCGTCTGCATCAAAGCTCCGCCCACTTCTGTGTTTTTCCCCAAAGCAGGACAGGACGTAAGAGACGCACATGTTTGGAATGTTACGAATGTGATTGATAACGCAGATGTGTGGATGCAAATTATTTTATAAACTGAGGAGGGGAAATATTTGGATTTAAAAAAAAAACAGGCATGGCACATGGACATGGCACCACAGTCAAATGACATCTGTGTTTTACTCAGTAATGTTTTACTGACACTTAGGTGACTGCACATGCGCAAACAACCGCGCTCAGTGCAGGAAAGCTAAACCACGACAAACTTGTCAGCGAGTTACCACCAATTTTCCGGACTATGCATCCCTGGCCGATTCAATTCAGTGCAAGTCATAAGAGTAAACTCGGGTAATGACAAAAAATGTACATCGGTAATTGTGTTGTGTTGTGCTATATTGGCTCATGCGGTTTTTCATGTACATAAACATACATTGTAGATATAAAGAATATTTTTTGAAATATATGATTTGCATTTTTGTAGTAGGTAGATCATTTTGACTTGATCCTTTTATAAGTAGCTCGCATGCTGAAAAAGTGTGAGCACCCCTGCTGTAGATGTTTCAGTAGATGTTTCAGTAGATGTTTCAGTAGATGTTTCAGTGGATGTCTCAGTAGATGTCTCTGTAGATGTTTCAGTAGATGTTTCAGTAGATGTTTTTGTAGATGTTTTTGTAGATGTTTCAGTAGATGTTTCTGTAGATGTTTCAGTAGATGTCTCAGTAGATGTTTCAGTAGATGTTTCTGTAGATGTTTCAGTAGATGTTTCTGTAGATATTTAGTAGATGTTTCAGTAGATGTTTCAGTAGATGTCTCAGTAGATGTTTCTGTAGATATTTAGTAGATGTTTCAGTAGATGTTTCTGTAGATGTTTCAGTGGATGTTTCAGTAGATGTCTGAGTAGATGTTTCAGTAGATGTTTCAGTAGATGTTTCTGTAGAAGTTTCTGTAGATGTTTCAGTAGATGTTTCAGTAGATGTCTCAGTAGATGTCTCAGTAGATGTCTCTGTAGATGTTTCAGTAGATGTTTCAGTAGATGTTTCTGAAGATGTTTCAGTAGATGTTTCAGTAGATGTTTCTGTAGATGTTTCAGTAGATGTTTCTGTAGATGTTTCAGTAGATGTCTCTGTAGATGTTTCAGTAGATGTCTCAGTAGATGTTTCAGTAGATGTTTTTGTAGATGTTTCAGTAGATGTTTCAGTAGATGTTTCAGTAGATGTTTCAGTAGATGTCTCAGTAGATGTTTCAGTAGATGTTTCAGTATATGTTTCAGTAGATGTTTCTGTAGATGTTTCAGTAGATGTTTCAGTAGATGTTTCAGTAGATGTTTCAGTAGATGTTTCAGTGGATGTCTCAGTAGATGTCTCTGTAGATGTTTCAGTAGATGTTTCAGTAGATGTTTCTGGAGATGTTTCAGTAGATGTTTCAGTAGATGTTTCTGTAGATGTTTCTGTAGATGTCTCTGTAGATGTTTCAGTAGATGTGATGTTTCAGTAGATGTTTCTGTAGATGTTTCAGTAGATGTTTCAGTAGATGTTTCTGTAGATGTTTCAGTAGATGTGATGTTTCAGTAGATGTTTCGGTAGATGTCTCTGTAGATGTCTCAGTAGATGTTTCTGTAGATGTTTCAGTAGATGTCTCTGTAGATGTTTCAGTAGATGTCTCTGTAGATGTTTCAGTAGATGTTTCAGTAGATGTCTCAGTAGATGTCTCAGTAGATGTTTCAGTAGATGTTTCAGTAGATGTTTCTGTAGATGTTTCAGTAGATGTTTCAGTAGATGTTTCAGTAGATTTTTCAGTAGATGTTTCTGTAGATGTTTCAGTAGATGTTTCAGTAGATGTTTCAGTAGATGTTTCAGTAGATGTCTCAGTAGATGTTTCAGTAGATGTTTCAGTAGATGTTTCAGTATATGTTTCAGTAGATGTTTCAGTAGATGTTTCAGTAGATGTTTCAGTATATGTTTCAGTAGATGTTTCTGTAGATGTTTCAGTAGATGTTTCAGTAGATGTTTCAGTAGATGTTTCAGTGGATGTCTCAGTAGATGTCTCTGTAGATGTTTCAGTAGATGTTTCAGTAGATGTTTCTGGAGATGTTTCAGTAGATGTTTCAGTAGATGTTTCTGTAGATGTTTCTGTAGATGTCTCTGTAGATGTTTCAGTAGATGTGATGTTTCAGTAGATGTTTCTGTAGATGTTTCAGTAGATGTTTCAGTAGATGTTTAGTAGATGTTTCAGTAGATGTTTCGGTAGATGTCTCTGTAGATGTCTCAGTAGATGTTTCTGTAGATGTTTCAGTAGATGTCTCTGTAGATGTTTCAGTAGATGTCTCTGTAGATGTTTCAGTAGATGTTTCAGTAGATGTTTCAGTAGATGTCTCTGTAGATGTCTCAGTAGATGTCTCTGTAGATGTCTCTGTAGATGTTTCAGTAGATGTTTCAGTAGATGTCTCAGTAGATGTCTCAGTAGATGTTTCAGTAGATGTTTCAGTAGATGTTTCTGTAGATGTTTCAGTAGATGTTTCAGTAGATGTTTCAGTAGATGTTTCAGTAG